CTGCACATTTTCTTTCTCAAATTTAATGAAGTCAGACATTTAAAATTTACTAATGAGAAACTGTGTATAATAAGTTTATTTCATTATTTTTGATGACTGATTTCCTTCATGATGTTTTGGTTTAGCTTTCCAGAGCAGATGATAATATAGGTTGAATTGGCAGACCTAGCTTTAGTTTTAAATCTTTTATTAAATATTTATCTTTATTGTTAAGTATTACAGATGTCCCCTTCTTTCCCCATTGACCCCTTTTACCCTGCACCCACCCCCCACCCCAGGCCTTCACCGCACCACTATTGTCTGTGTCCATGGGTTATGCATATATGCATATAAAGTCTTTGGTTAATCTCTCCCCTTAAAAGTTAAGCTTTCCAGTAAACAACTAGTCCCCAAGAGAAAGACTAGCAAATGTCAGGGTTTTGTTTGTGGGACCTTTGAAAACCATAGACTTAATACAAAAATGTTTCTGCAAATAAGAAAAAAAATTTTTTTTTAGATTTAGATTTTTAAATTTAAAGTTGCAAACCCCTTTTAAAAAAATAACTCCCCTTTTATGGTAGTGGCTTGAAAGTAGTGGTAGCTTTAGAAGAATTGAGTTCCTTTCAAGAGTGTTCAGAAAACATTTTCTTATTTCCTTGGAATTGCCGAAAGTATTATTTTCCGTAATTCACAGAGGAGTAGCTTTCAGAGGAATTCTATTTTCAAATTCTTTTATAAATTCCAAGAAAGAACCATTTAAAAATGTATTCATTTGTTTGTTTATTCATTTCTTGCTTAAACTCTTACTGAGCACCTGGCTTGTGATAGGTACTACACAAGGAATTGGAGACGGGGGGAAAAATAATACCTTTTGCCTAAGCAAAAAATCAAATTTGAGGAACTTAAGAATTTTAAGATTATTATATCTAATCTACTCATGAACAGATGGAGAAACTGAGGCCCAGAGAGAGGTTGCATGATTTAAATTTGAATTAAACTAGAAACAGTGTATTTTATTTACACAGGCAGTTTGCATGGAAATTCTTTTGATGTATCAAGTACTTCTTTTATATTGAGTTAAGAATTTTTTTTTAATGTTCTAAAATTAACAAATAAGGTCAGTGCTCAATTTCCTGGATCAATGCCACAGTGGTGCCCTTTGTTCTTGGACCCAATCCAGGATCTGCCTTGGCAACTGAAAGACCCAATGGCCTGTGTTGGCAATCGGTATAGGGGTTTTAGTATCTACTGACTAACTGTACTTTGGATGCCCATTGTTCAGATATTGGGGCTTGGCCTTTTGCTATAGAACATCACTATTTCCATTAAACTAATTTTTCAGTATTTTGAATTATATATTTACATTCTTGATATTTAAAATTAATATCAGTAGTTTCTAGTAATTTTAACTATAAAGAGTCCTATCTGACTTTCTTACTGGTTTGAAAATAGATAAAACCTTGAATTATGGTAAAAACATTTTTATTTCATTAGATTTAACATGAACATTCTGGCCCCTGCTGGGAAGTCTAAGAACTACATCACTGTACTACCAATTTTTCTAAGGTCATAAGGACTTCAGGTTAAACTGGGAATTCAATTTTATGTATCTTCTCTCTTTTCTGTAACATACAGAAATTAATTGAATAAATCTATAAGTAAGGCATTACTATTCTTAAGGCTCCAAATCTGTGTTAAATATTGGACACTCTTACATAATACAATAAATTTAAATCTACTGTAATACAATCAAATTTTCTACCTTAATTTTACATTTTGATGAAATCCAATATCTTTCATCTCCATTCAAACTCATAAGAGAAATCTGATAAGAGAACAGGTGAAATTTAAATACACGGTAAAGACTCTACTTAGAAAATAGGACCAGAGGCATGAGTACATGGAACAGAATGACAGATTCAGAGGAGAGGGAGGGGGGGACGACTGGAAGAGATTGTAATCAAAGAACATATATGCATAGCCCATAGACACAGAAATAGTGTGGTGAAGACCTGGGGTGGGGGGAAGGCTGGGTGGAGGGGGGCAAAGAGAGGAAATGAGGGACATCTGTAATACTGTCAACAACAACAAAAAGCCAAAATTAAAAGCAAACAAACAAAAAGAGTCTACTTAGAATTTCATTTCATCAAATATTTATTTAATACCCACTGTTTGGTTGGTTATCAGTAAGCATTGAGTATATTTACGTAAAACATTGCCTTACCCCTAGAAAGGAGTGGGTAATAGTTATGAAATAGCTCATCAGCAAGTTCAGAGTTGTGGAGTATTCACTATAGGACAAACCAAGAGTGTCTTGGGTGTCACTGGAATGATTTATGTATATGGAGATTTAGGAGTGGGGAGTGGAAGATAAATGGGAGACTTAAAACAAGATGCTAAACCTCCCCTGTCCAAAAACTTTGAATAAATGAACACTTTTGCCTAGGCAGTCTCCACAAGCTCTCTTACTTTGGGTAAACTAGGTACCTTCCATTTCCTCATTTGTGACGTGGGGATGTTAGTCAAGTTGTGAGGGCTAAATAAGATGTTAATGTGAAGTGCCAAGAACAATGTCTGGCGCCAAGTAAGTGCTTAATAAATATTGAATATTAAAATCATTGTCAACATGTAATAATGCTACTACCAATAGTACCTAACATTTATATCATTAATAATAATTTGTATTAGAAATCTTTGCAAAATTGAAAATTTAGAAATTGACCTTTTGAAAGTGAGGGATGGGCATGTATGGTGTCCACCAGAGGGACATCTAAAGCGATGACTAAAAAGCTAGGAAGAAAAAGGTAGGAAAAGATATGCCAGGCAAATGCTAACAAAAGAAGCTGAGATCATGATATTAGTCACAGGATTAAATTTTAAGCAGAAAGTGAAAATAAGACAAAGAGGACATTTTTTGACAGTAAAGGATCTACAGAGAGGATATAACTTGCATAAATCTTAAAGCACTGAATAATACAGTAATAAAACTACATAAAGAAAAACGGCCAAACTGCAAGGAAACATGATCAGAAGCAAAATAGTAGCAGCTTATTTTAATTCACCTAGTGGCTCAAGCAATCAAAAGTTAATAAGGATATATTTGAACAATTAAGACAGTGAGGTTGATGAAATAGATTTGGTTGGTGGAATAGATGAAATAGATGGAGTAGATGAAATAGATATCCTGCTAACTTAAAAAGTCAATCTTATTTTTAAAAGCTCAAGAAACATTTACCAAATTGAATATATATTGGCCCACAAAAAAAAGATCTCTCAAAAAAATCCAAAACTTAGAAATAACCCAGACTACATCCTCTGATAGTAGTGTAATGAAATACAAATGAATGACCAAAATAAAAATCAACATCTTCACTACTCGGAAATACAAAAATTATTTAAAACAACTTTTGGCCCAAAGAGGAAATAAAATTGATATTGCAGAATGTATACAAAATAATTAAAACATTATGTACAAAATAATAATTAAAACATTACAGACCAAACCTTGTTAGGAAACAACTACCACTGTGATCAGCATATATTCATAGATTCAAACATATATTATTAAACAGGAATGAATGAAAATAATATGTGATTTAACTTAAAAAATAGAAAATGAACTGCAAAATAGACTACAAATTAAACCTTAAAAAGCAGAGGAAAAATAAAAAGGTACAATCATAAATTGAGTCGGAAACAGCAAAGCAGTAGAATTGATGATTTAAATCTATGACTTGTTTCCTCAATGAAAAAAACACCCAATATACTACCTAAGCTAATCAGTGTAAAGAAGGCACAGATACTCTAAGTTAGAAGGGAGAAAGAGAAATGATTTACAGAAAGTGTGAGCGAAAGAATTAAAATAACTGGGATATTGCAAAAGTATTATGAAAATAAATTTGAAGACCTGTGTGAAATTAAAATGATACAGATTTTCTAGGAAAAAGATAACCAAGGAAGAAAATGGAATAATTACCATAGAGCTACTCTCTGAAAAGTGCCAGTTGATAGATCATTCTTCCAAATCCTCAAAGGACAGGTAGTATTTTTCAAAACAGTGTTTTGAGCACATTTACTGAAAATAGTATACTATAGACTGCATACTTATAATATAAGGCAAGTAGTAGTATGTGAAATTTCTGTTTCAGTGTATATATTTATACCATGTTTCTTTTTAAGGCTGCATTTCTTGCTCTGGGTCACAATCAAAATACTCTGAAAACCACTATTCTGAAGTTTTAATAAAGTATAAAAATAAATGAATAGAGAAAGCTTTAAATGTTTTTTAGACTATCATAATACTGATGCTAACACCTGGCAATGAAAGCAAGAAGGGAATATTAATCTCGAATTTTAAGTTTAACATTAGCAAGTAGAATTCTGCAGCACTTTGAAAGAACAATATGCTGTAACAAAGCCCAGTCACTCCAGCAATGCAAACATGGTTCAGTATCTGAGATTTATTAATACCCTTCAGCATATTAATAGGTAAAAGAAGAGGGGAAACATGGTCATTTTAATAGATTTATGTAAAGTCTTTGACAGAATTAAAACAATCCTTTAAGACCATTCCTTATTAAAAACCCTTCAGTAAAGTACGAGTAGATGGATAATTTCTTGAAGTGGCAAGACAGCCTTATGCTTAATGATGAAACGCTATACATATTCTCATTAAGCTCAGAAATATTAAGGATACCTTCAATCATAACTTTACTTGTTAATTTTATGGAATTATTAGCCAACACAAATAGACAATATAGTGGAATAAGAAGCATAAATGTAAGACAAGAAAAGGCAAAGTTGTCATCATTTTTGCAGATGGTATAATTTAATACCTGTAAAAATCTAAAGAATCATTTAGTCGCCATAAAATGTGTAAGCCAAGTGTTACTTACCCATTTTATAAGAGTTTAAAATTTCAGGTGATAATGCTTTAGTGAAGAATGAGCTGTGTATGTGTGTGTGTGCACACGTGTGTGCGTGTGTATAAATCCCCTCATGTTTCTCTTTTTTTGTTGCAGTCCATAGTTCCTACCAGAGGATGGTTACCAAGTCATATAGAAATCCCGAGAACACCAGTCTGGTCCCAAGGTAGGTGCTAGTTGAAGCATATTAGGTACTTCCTTTGCGGTACTGATTCTCACAGCTGGTATTTGCAGATGGGCCGTATACACCACCCACTAGTTCAAATTCTGTGATGCAGGAGTCACTTTCTATCATTATATAAAATTGCCCTCTTCCTCAGTTACATAAAAATATTAGTTGGCTTTATGTATAGAAGGATGTAGTTGTTTTTTTAATCCCTACCCCAGGACATGCTTAGAGAGAGGAAGGAGGAAAGAGAAAGGGAGGAAAGAAGCAGAAACATAGATGTGAGAGAGAAACATCGACCTGTTGCCTTCCATATGTGCCTCCACCAAACCTGCAACCCAGGTACGTGCGCAGACTGGGAATCGAACAGGCCAACTTTTGGTGCACAGGACGACACTCAACCAATTGAGCCACTCTGGCTGGGCAAAGAATGTCGTTTTTTTTAATAAATGTGTTCAGTGTGGCATTATTTAGTCAGCAGAATTGCAGGTGTTTTGAAAATTAATTTCATCATGCTGTGCTAAGTAACAAAAAAGTTAATAAAGACAGGATGCCCCTGATGACCTCACATTGCAGTGGGGTAGACAGACTTGTAAACAGATATGTTAAAGTAGAAGGTGGTAAGTGCTCTTCTGAAGATTAAGCAGAGAGCTGGCAGTGCAATGGCACAGAGGACTGCCTGAGGGAGTCAAGAAGTTTTAACAGGATAGGTGACGTCTAAGCTAGTTTTTAAAGGATGGGCAAGAGTTTGCCAGGTGAATGAGATGATCTCTATATAAAGTGCCTAGTACAGGGCCAGGTACTTGGTAAGACCCAATAAATGTTAGCATCTAGTTCTAGTTGGGAACTGTTCCAGGCAGAAGACACAGGTCAGTTCAATTCAAGGAACACTTATCGAGTACCTTATATATGTCAGGCACTGTTCCAAGTTCTTTAGCCCTATGTGCCAAGTACATCCTGTGAAGACAGATAATTCCACAAGGGTCTGGTGTGAGCCATGTCCAGAACAACTATTTATAGATTTTGCTCTCAAGATGGAGCAGGGATGTTTGTTTTAACACTGCTTACACATTTCAACTTGATTGCAACCCCGTACAGCAACATTGACAGCACAGAGATGGATGCAGCTAATGACTGTTCTAGCCTCAATTTCATAAAGGCGGTGAAGACAGTCTAGCCTGGCCTCCCCTTGTGTATTGGGTCACTTTGATCTGGGCTCAGGTGGGGTCCAGGCAACAGCTTTTCCTCAAAATATGGATGGAAGAGTCCAGATGCTTGCATTTCTGTTTCGGGTCAGTTGACCCAGAAGGTTCCCCTTGTCCTTTCTTCAGTGAGCCCCTTCATCATACCCAACCACCAAACCCTGATGCTTTATTTGGTAGTAGAGTAGGGAATAGTACAGAACAAATAGAATCTGTACTTTTATCTGAATTTATCATACTAAACACAGAACCTATACATTTCAACATCTAAAATAGACATTTATAAATGTAAGGGACATTCTGTGACTGTTTTCAGTGGCAGTTTTACTAGCATAGCTGGGTTACAAAAAATAGAAGGAATGTGCCAGGTGTTTTACAAGCATTTAATTTAAATCTCACAGCAATTCTGTAAGGTAGGAATTATTATAACTATTATGCAAATTAGGAAATGTAGGCACAGAATGTTTAACTTATCTAAGACTAAAAATGGTGGCACTGGGGGTTGAAACCAGGTCTAACCAACTTTGCCCCCACTTTCTTTCTACTACAGCAGTGTCCAATTTTAATGCTACTGTTTCTTGTGTTTCTGCCATGTGCCACACACAGTATGAGATGCTCAGATACATTCTCTCTAATCCTCGTGATTTTTCTTTCATGCAACAGTTAAAGCAATTAACTGCCTTGCTAGAAATCACACAGCCAGCATGTTATATTAGAGATCTCAACTCAAGCCTAATTCTGAGACTCAGAAGCCTGTTTTCTTTGTTACACTGCACCAGTGACTCTCAGTCCCGGGCATACATTGGAATCAAATGGGGAGCTTTTTTTAAAAAAATATGTTTTTATTGATTTCAGAGAGAGGAAGGGAGAAGGAGAGAGAGAGTTGAAACATCAATGACGAGAGAGTCATTGATCTGCTGCCTCCTGCATGCCCCTCACTGGGGATCTAGCCCACAGCCCAGGCATGTGCCCTGACTTGGAACTGAACAACGATCTCCTGGATCATAGGTCAATGCTCAACCACTGAGGCATGCTGGTTGGGCTGGGGAACTTTTTTTAAAAGCCCTACCCCAGAGAGTCTAATTAATTGAAGTAGAACATGGGTGATTTTAAAGCTTCCAGGTGATTTTAATGTGCTCTTTGGTTTGAGATCATAGCTCTCAAAAGTTAAAGTGATTAAGAAACTTCAAGTAAGCCACCATTTCTCTTTTCATGGTATATTGGAGGAAAAGGCCACTTGTAGACTATATTTAAAGTGATTGTATTTTCCTAGAAAGCACCGAAGAACACAGAGGAAGGAGTATGGGCTTTGGAGTAAGATAGACCTAACAGAGGAAGGAGTATGGGCTTTGGAGTAAGACAGACCTAACTTTGAACTTTAGCTTTGACTCTCTCTTGCTGAGTAACCCTCGGCAACTTACTCAGCATTCTGTCGAGTATTGATTGTGAAAGGAGTAAAAGATGTCCTTGAGAAGAGGATTCTACCTTGAAATAAATGGAGTGAATACTGCCTCTGGCGGCCTACTATTGAGAGTAAGTCTGCACACAGTGCATGGAAAAGGCCCTGGGAAAACTCTTTCATTTTCCTAGTCAACCTGACCCTAAAACCCATCCCACTGCCAAACATTCCCCAAGCAACCAGAGGCCCTTCTCATTACAGTTGCTCAGGAGTGATCTTTTATTGCCAGACCATGTGGTATTGTTGAGAGATGACCAAGAGAGGAGGCTTCCCTTTTAGCCAGAGATGCCAGGGTAGGGTATGTGTGCTTAGGTGGGAGGGGAAGGGGAAGGGGAAGGATATTTTAATGTCTTATATTAGGTTTGAAATATATTTTACACTAGAAACAATGTCTGGATGTTAATTTGGTTTATTGGTTATTCAATTAGAGCCTATTCATAATTTTGCCAGAAATGTACTGTATTTTATATACAAAAGCACTGTATTTCAGGAACCTTTTGGGTCCAGTAGATTCTGAGGAATTAGTGTGGAAGCAATACCATCATTTATAACATTGTTTCTATGAGAAATCTGGGGTCACCACTTGGGACTCCAAGAAATAGCTTCTCTCCTCTCTAACTCAGCTTATCAAATATAGTGCCCACCTGTCACCTAGTGAAGAAGGAGTGGGGCAGCTCAGAGAATGCTTTTGCTCTCTGGAGTTTAGCAGGACTCTCTTAGCTACTGATTATAATAAGGTCACAACATACTTGAGGTTAGGGGCCATTTCTTTCCTTCATCTGTGTCCCCCTTCCTCCCAAGCAACCTACTATATAATATTAGCATATACTGGACATTATCATATACATAGATTAGATTTTTAATCATTAATGGAAACAGGACATTGGTAGTCTATACCATGCGGTGACAAAACATTCCTGAAATAATCACCTATTGTTTCCTGGAATCAGGTACATTTCAGTGACTAGATTTTAGGAGACTAAAGTGGCTGTTATAGTAAAATATGGTAGAAGCTTTGATTATAAGGACTGTGGGTGGTTCTGGTTACACTGAAAGCTCACAGAAGGGAAATGACAACCTTAAGGGTTTACATTTTTAGCCTAGGGCACTGTTAGAAAATCAGAGAGCTTCCTTGACTACCTAATCAAGTCTCATTTATTATACCAAAGGTGCTGGGATTCACAAAAGATAAACTGAGTGTGATTCTGCAGCTTAATGCATTACAATGTAGGATTTCTATGTATTGATGAGGAGAGTGGGATCGTAAGAAAGCGAATACTTGGGTAGGTTTTAACGAATCCAGCTAAGCTACCGTGAGTCCCCAGATTTCCCTGAGTTTTAGTTGTCAGTAAAAGCAATCCTCTGTCCAATAGTCTTAGTCTCTCGTTGCCTGGTAACCTGTTTTAAAATTACCTGAAGTAGTTGATTTGACCAAGATAAATCTCCTCAAGGTCAATCCCCACTACTTCTCATTGCTGCCAGACCGAGCCTATTTCCTAATTAGATTCAAATTCTGACAGACTCCAGAGAAGAAGGGGAAAAGAGAAAAACTGGAAAATATACATGATGAATAAAGTCTTCATTTCTACGGTTTATGGGCCATAGTTGATATTTGCAGCATCTTCCTTCCACTGCCTTTCCCCTGTTCCCTATGTGCTCAGCTGACACTTCAGATAGTTGTGATTATTTCGCAGTCAGGGTGACCTAAACTTTCATTCCTGGAAGAGCTGAACCATTAGTGGTTCTTTCTTGGCTTGGGTTGCTCTAATCTTCCAGTAGCTTTCACCGTGGACATGGGAGTAGTACTAAAAGTTGCCCAGAGAATCCCTGGGCTTCCAGACACAGCCTTCCCTCCCTTTGCTGTGTAGTACCAACCTTTTCTACTTTATAATTGGGGTCAGTTGCCCCAGCCAGTACAGCAATCCTGACTTTGCTTGTGGTTCCAGTGGCTGATGTGGCAGTTTCGGCTTTCATTAGTGGAATCCTGGTGTTTTTTAGTTTCCCTTGGAAAGTAAAAGCATTACATTGTGTGGATGAAAACAAAAGTTGTGTGAGTAGATCATTAGGAATTATAATGAAGGATCCACCATTACTTCTACATTTTGGTTTGTAACCAGAATCTAAAAATTCTGGTTATGGAAGAAATAACATCATATATTGGTACTTGTGTGAGCTTCCCAGTCCCATAAGTGTCAGTATAAGTGGGTTATCAATAAATCATTCCACCATTCTATCAAGTCATTCTGTCTTCCTCTGGACATAAAACCATTTCTTCAAGCCTTATTCTTTAAATGGAGTTCCTTAGTCAAAAGCAATATTTTAAGGAATTCTAGGAGCGT